AGAAACGAAACAGAAAAGACAATACTACCAATTCAGGATTCTGGGACCATTTTGTGCTAGAAGTAAGCAACCTGATATATCTGTTTGGCTCTTTGAGGACAGTGCATAACTAACATCAATAATGATGACTCATCAAGCAAAGGTTAAATTCTCATTGACTGTGTCCTGCTTAAGAAGGTGGTACAGATGGGCGCCTGGTGGCTCAGGTGGTTAAGCGTCTGTCTTCGGCTCGGGTCGTGATCCCAGGGTCCTGGGATTGAGACCCGCATCGGGCTCCCTGCTAGGCCGGGAGCCTGCTTCTCCCTCTCCCTCTGCCTCCCTCTCTCTCTCTGACTCTCATGAATAAATAAATAAAACATTAAAAAAAAAGAAACTTAAAAAAAAAGTGGTACAGATAATACATATATTAGTTTCTATTCAAAATGATTATAAAACACAAAATTATGTGCTTAAGAGAGCCCTAGCCATCTGAGGAAAAGAAAATCACTGTTGTAACACCTTAATTACAAACATGGATAAAGGGAGCATTATTCAGTTTTTTATTTTATTGAGACATTATTATGGTCTTCAATTAATGGTGGTTCTGAACAACTTTGCTCTGTTTTCCCTTACCTTTGGACCTTAATGGCTTTCACCTAATTGTTAGTGATACATAAACACATATTAAAGTGTGCTAAAAGAAATCTTCAGTGACTCTCTTAATAATTTGAATAATCTACCCTATTTGTAGGCACTAAATATAGACTGAGGCACTAAAATATACCTGTTCTGTGCACAGACCAGGAGTACATCTGATGATTCTTTATACTAGGTTCTATAGAATTTTTTTCTCTGGAGTAAATAGCTTAATATCTATCCATGGCCTATTCTTGAAGAATCTTCCATCCTTCAAATGGTGGTGAGATGTAAATCTTAATCCTTGGAAGTTTTTCAGGCAATAGTCTAAAAAGTGTTTGAAAATCAGAATAATTTCCTATCCAGTATTCATATTTTTAGGGCTCCAAAACAATCTAAATTTAAGAAATAGGGGGTGATTATTCAAAATATCTGAAAATTCAATGTAGGGTTTCTTTTACTAAGCTTGCATATATATTACCAAATGGAATTGTTTAACATAATTAAAAAACCAGGTGTTAAAAATTTAAGCACCTATTTTGTAGTGTTGGCCTGGTTTATGCCAGTGGTAGAGATTATGGTGAGGAAAGCGAATTGCATTTTTCTCTAAAACACTATGTGGACCACAATTTAAAACAACAGAAAACACTTAACATGTGGACCAAACAAAACATAATGTGCCATTTAGCATCCTTACAGAAAAGTTTCTTACTTCAGAGAGAAAAGGGTCAGATAGAGCTTTTCAAGTAAATGATATGGGGGAGATTTTCCCCTAACGGGTGTGAATTCCCTCTCCACTGATAGAGCTGTGAGCCTCCCTCTCTGAAAGGAAGTATTTGCTCCTGCTCTTTGGTAAACTTTTTAGAGTGTGCCTTCCTCCTTAATTTTGTATTCAACACAATTTTGTATATGCCTCCCCTCAACTAAGGTGTCTTTTCCAGGCCTTTACTTTCTTACAACTATCTCAAAGGAAAAAGAAATGTGTATGATGGAATGATTTTATTAATAGTGACTGGTAACCCTTCTAATAGAAAATTTATGGCTTTGTTGCACAGCAGAAAATTTAAAGAATGTGGAGTCAGAAGACCAATTATGTTACCTTCCAGCTTTTGTATTTTTGTCTAGGACTTTTACCACTCTGAATTCGTATCTGTGAAATACCTTGCATGGTCCAGAGCATTTTAGTGAGGTCCAAATATGAAATATATGAAAGTACTCTAAAATGTAGTATTTTCGTTGAAGAATTTTAGGTTAAGGTTTGAGATCTGAGGGGGTGGGAAGTGGGGAACAGAAAAATATCTGCTGCTTCAGAAAAGACCGTAATACATTTCTTTTTTTTTTTTTTTGCTTCCAAAGGTCATTTCTTCATTTGATATGATGATGTATTTTAGTGCTTTGTGCCTGCAAATTTCAAGACACCTTCATCTAAATATCTTCAAGACTTCATATCATGAAGCACCTGAACAGGTTCACAAGCATATTGACTAATAGCCCAAGGAAAAGAGGAGAAGCAGTTAGGGGAACCTATGAGTGAAGGAAATTCCCCTTTGCAGGAGGCTAGTATACAATAAATAAGGTTATATTTGAATATAAAATATTAAGTCCTATAGATTCCATTATGTTTATTTCAGTTATGAAGCCCTCATTGCATATCAAAATTTTGATCACAGGTATTATCAGAGTATTACAATCTATAAATTAGTTAAAAACAAAATCAAAGGAAAAAATTCAATTTTCTGAGGACAAGAAAGTAAACCTCTAGTTCTAAAGATCAGTCTGTCTCAAAAATCTTTATCAGGTACTCGGGGTTTTCATTGCTAAAGGATTACATAAAAATTCAGGGCTTTAAAGGATTTTAGCCATCTTAAGGCTGATGCTTACTTCAATTGCAAAAAATTGACAAGTGAGTTCATAATACTGCCTAAGTGCATGGATTGTAATACTGTAATTACTGAGTCAAATGATGTTATAAGAAATGGTGTTTTTTAATTAGCCATTTTTCAAGTTATGTTAATTACTATCATATAAAAGGAAATACTTGTTTGCAACTAGAATTTAAAAGGGCTATGGGAATTTTTTATAATTTAGTAAAAGGAATTTGTCTTACCAGTTCAGAAAAACAAATGAAATCTTTATACATCATTCCCTGATATTCTAAGTTTCTGTCACAAAAAAAGTGGACATTAAAGATCCCCTTTTATGAAACATAAAAAAGTAGCTAAAGCAAGGTTGTTATAAGAAAATTAGTAATTTGTGGGGTGCCTGGGTGGTTCAGTTAGTTAAGCGTCTGCCTCTGCTCAGGTCATGATCCCAGAGTCCTGGGATCAGCCCAGGTTTTCAGGCTCCCTGCTAAGCAGGGAGCCTGCCTCTCCCTCTCCGCCTACTCATTCTCCCCCTACCCCCACCACCTCCTGCTCTCTCGCTCACTCACTCACTCTCTCAAATATCTTTAAAAAGAAAATTAGTAGTTTATGACAACATGGCAAAAATACCTTCCCTTTAGACTATCAGCCAAAGTTATCTCAAAAAGACGATTCATGAGGAAAGGGGGATAATATAAATGTCAGTCATCCCATCACCAAATACATTATGTACTGATTCTTATCTTTCCACTCTCACTTAAAAGTATTTATGTTAATCATTATGAATATTAGAACTATTATAAGGATCTTTGTGACTCAGACTCCGCGTCTTACCTTATTTTTAATTTTGTCTAACAGTTCTGTAGACCATAAGCTATATGATGAAATAATCAAAAAAAAAAAGAGTAATGAACACATACTATAGCTTAAGCAATAAAAAGGCATATTGAAAAAATAGTGAAAGTTGATATTCCTTGAAAGGAAAAAATATGTGAATTAAGTATACAGAAACCACTCCGGAGTACTTATTTTGCTTCTAACTTTAACTCAAACACAGATAGAACTTTTTCAAGTGTTTGAATGATACTTGAGATTTATATTCCAACATAAACTTTGGCTTTAAAGAAGTCTTTTACAAAATTAGGAACTGGCTCCTTAATGTTAGATATTCATTAATTTCTTCCTATATAAGTTGTCGTATTAAAAAAAAAGAGATCAGTATGGACTTCCTTTTTAAAACTTGAAAACCTGCGGCACCTGGGTGGCTCAGTCATTAAGCATCTGCCTTCGGCTCAGGTCATGATCCCAGGATCCTGGGATCGAGCCCCACATCGTGCTCCCTGCTCAGTGGGAAGCCTGCTTCTCCCTCTCCCACTGCCCCTGCTTGTGTTCTGTCTCTTGCTGTCTCTCTGTCAAATTAATAAATAAAATCTTAAAAAATAAATAAAAAATAAAACTTGGGAAACCTTAAAACTAAGGTAAAGGTGGGTTATAGGGGCAAAAATTAGAATTTACAACATGAAAAAACAGATGAAAACCAATCCTCTCCTAATGGGGATATTTTTTGTTTTGAATGATTCAATGAAAGCAATTTCAGCAAAAAATAAGTTTAGCTGACATATTTCAAACAAATGCTGAAATGATTTAATATTTATTAAATCTAGTGTTTCATGTTATTCTATGTTTAAAAAATGCAGATTTTTAGTAACAAGGTATAAAGTTAACTGTTCAAGTTTGGAAATGAATGTAATCAAACTTCCGTATTACTGAATATTAAAACTGAAAAACAATATTTTCTAGGTAATTTAAAGACAGATGTGAAGTATTTAAACCATAAGTAATTAAGTATGTTAATGATATGCTTTTAATCATTACTAAGGGCATGTGTCATTTAATTGTGGACCAAGCCCAATTAAACGCATTTTGAGGTCTTTGTGGAAATGACATAGTCACAAATCCATGTCTTAAAACTGATATTTATATATCTTGTTTGGTTTTCTTAATGGTTTTTAGTAGTTTAATTTATTTCAGAACACAAACTTGGGTTGTTTTTAATAAATTATGTAAGTCAATAGAATAGATTTTCTTTTGAAGTTAGAATTGGCTGTGTAACTTAAGTATATACAGTAGAATGTACATATAACATGTATTTTGTATATTTTTTCTCAAAGAAGAACAATGTAACCTTCTATAGTCCCTTTGGGACTAATACAAATACACTAAAGAAGCCAAAACCTGAAATTAAATCATCTTTATTGCTAAAAGTTAATTGACAAGTATTAAAGAGAAAAATTCACTATTAACTATTAAAGAGCTGGAAGCTTGGTATATATAATATAGGAATTGCTACTACTCACATAACTGTTCAGCTTTATGTGAAGGTTAACAGAAGGAGGGTTCTTGCACTTAAGCTAACAATTAACAGGATGTATTATTTTAAACTAGAAATTTTAAACCACTCAAAGAATTACATGCCTCATAGCTAATGTTATAATTGTATCATATTACTTAGGTTCAAGTTCTTCCTTCAAAGAGTCATCAGAATAACATGGATTGAAGAGACTTTCGAACACTTGCCATCTCTTGCTGCTGCTGTTACATGAAAGGAAATATTAAACATTTGTTTAATTTTTAGATAAGTGTTATACATATTTCAGCAAATAAAATATTTCAATGCTTGCATTACTCATTTTTTTCAATTTAAAATTACTTACAGTTTCCATCATAATTTTTTTTTGCAACATAGCCATTTCTTTTCTAAGTTCATTTTGTGCACCAGTAAGTAGATTATCATGATTTTTCTCCAAGTCCTCCATACTCTAAAACACAGAAGGCTAGTTCAGTTACAAACTACCACTTTTTATCTCAGATTCTAAACTTGAAGAATTAATTTTCAAAAGTAGGAACTTTTTAGTATTCAAATAATTATTTTTTATTCCAAATTAAAATATTTTAAGTAATAGTGGAAACCAAAATACCCATAAAGGAATATAAGCATCAGACATGGATCAAATATTATAGGAAGTATAAGAGTAGTGTATTTTGCTCAAAATAATGGGTTAATGAGCTGCTAAGGTCAAAATAGAACAAATAAAATACTGTAATTTTTAAAATTTCTAATAAGCTTTCTAAATATCAGGTAGTTATTATGACTAATTGTCAATGTGATGCGAATTCATAAGAAGGAATAAAATGATCTGTAATATACTTTTTCAATTTATGAAAAACAAATTATGTTATAAATCTTTATTATTATCTAACAAATAGTGACTTTAACCTACTATATAAAAAGTATATTAAGTGTTGTGGAGAAATTAAAAAATATTAATACATGATTCACTCCCTTATTCTAGTAAGAAACATATAAACAGAAATAATGCAAAATTTTATAGTAGGAATGGAAATGCAACTTGTGACTACATAGTAGAAAATAGGGATTGATTCCAATTTAGTTGGCAAAGAGTAAGAAAAAGTAATTAAAAGTATTTTAGAGTAAGAGCATAAGTAAAAGCATGGAAGTACACAATCAGTAAGTTTAGAGAAGGCAATTATCTGGAGGGGCGGGAGTTACAGAACAAATGTTAACAATTGAAGCATAAAGAGAGAAAGAATCACATTATGGGAGGGTACCAGAATACCTAAGAACTGAAAATGAGTAACTATTGACTTTTTCAGGAGTGAAGATAATATGACCGACCTTCATGAAGGGTAGTTTGGAGAATAGAAAAAAATCAGTTGAGGTTTAATAGTATAAGCAAAGAATGATGCGGTTGTAAATAGGATAACAGCTCTGGGAATTAAAAAAAGGAACCACTGCCGAAGTAAAAATTACAGGGCCTACTAATAACTGGATATGAAGAATAAGGGAAATGTAGAAGTCAAATATAATACTCAAGTTCCTAGCCTAAGTGGTAACATTTAGTGATAAGATTTAGAAGAAATCTTTTTTAGTACTTTATCAATCTTCACACCAATTAAATGGTTTTTAGGGAGCATTAGAGCAAGCCGATTGGAAACACTTTTAAAAGTAACTCTGGTATACATACATATTAAGTTTCTTTAAAAATAATCGGTTTAAAACCACTAGTTTATTCAGAGCATCCTGATTCCTTTAAAAGGGTGACATTTTAACATTTGAACAAGATTATCTAAAGGAATCCCCACATCAAAAAAAAACAAAAGTATGTGCAGGATTCCAATGAACTATAAACAGTTACTAAAAAAATATATATCTGCATAAGTAAGAAGTCAGTGTCAAAAACCACAATTCGCTAATATGCATATGTGTCAGATAATTCTCAATCCACAAGTTTTTAATCCTCTCGCTTTTTCATTCTATTGTAAGTCTGGGCCATCTCTTATTATAAGATGGCATATAAAGCCATTTTTAGTCACTGTAATAATCCTAAAAGGAAATATGCCATAAAATACATATGTATTACATTAGAAAATAAAAAATATTCCTCATTTTCAATTGGGTACTTTCTATTTAGCAAACACTGGAGATATAAAGTAAAAGACTACCTAGAAATGACTCATGGACTTTCTATTTTCAGTTAAGACAGAACTATTAAAGTATGAATTTTATGCACATTATATACATTTAGATAAAATTCCCAATTTACCATTTGCTGTTTTGAAGAATCCCCACAAAAACATTGGAATCATAAAGTAAAAATATATTTAACACTTAAATCAAAATGGAAAGTAGTTAAGAATTTAAAATATATAAGCAAAATGTTTTTTCCCTTAAACTTAGAAGGAAAAAATTTTCTTCTACTTCCAAATGTAATGTTATATAAGAATGTATTACATAACCAAATACAACAGACCTTTATGAACTGCTCATATAACTGTCTAATTGTTTTCAGTCTCTGGCTCTGAACAATTCTAGATTGTTGAAAAACCTTTTGTTGCTGTCGAAACATGTTCTACAAATGTAAAAGAAAAAAATTTAACAATTTGGGTAAAATTTAAAGTTTAGTAAAAAATAATTCTACATTAAACTTAAAAAAGAATGGTTTTTAAACCAACAGTTTTAACTATTATGACCAAGTTCATCACTAATATACAATAATAATCCTACCAGTCATTTAGTACGAACACTTAACAATACTCAAAATAGTTTTGTTTTTTTTTAACGTAGGCTCTATGCCCAATGTGGAGCCCAACACAGGGCTTAAACTCACAACCCTGAAATCAAAGAGTCAGACACTTAGGGACCCCTGCGTGACTCAGTTGGTTAAGCATCTGCCTTCAGCTCAGGTCATGATCCCAGAGTCCTGGGATCAAGTCCCACATTGAGTTCAGCAGCAGACTCCTTGCTCAGCAAGGAGCCTGCTTCTCCCTCTGCCTGCATCTTTCCCTGCTCATGCTTGCTCCCTCGTTCTCTGACAAATAAATAAAATCTTAAAAAAAAAGAAAAGAAAAGAAAAGAAAAAGAGTCGGACGCTTACCTGACTGAGCCACCCAGGCACCCCAACAGTACTCAAAATATGTTTTAATTCTTGGTGTTTTCCGTATCAACATGTATGATGCTTCCAATAATGCTGATCTTTCAGTTTCTTGGCCTACTTTCCACCAATGGTTTTGTCCCCCACCCTACTTTAGCCATTCACATACATGCTCATATCCTAGATTTTGTCATTGCCAATAACTACAACTTCTACATAGTATTAACAATAGAAAATGTCATATTAACTGTTAGACACCACTCTGAATTCTTTTTATTTATTTATTTAAGATTTTATTTATTTGACAGAGAGAGACAAAGCAAGAGAAGGAACACAAGCAGGGAGTAGGAGGGAGAAGCAAGCTTCCCACAGAGCAGGGAGCCCTGATGTGGGGCTCGATCCCAGGACCCTGGGATCATGACCTGAGCCGAAGGCAGACACTTAACAACTGAGCCACCCAGGCGCCCCTGAATTCTTTTTAAATAAACATACTATGTATGAATGCATTTAATCCTCAACCCTATGAGGTAGTTATTATTACTCCCCTTTCATAGATAAGGAAACAGACATAAAGATAATTTTTCCAGTTTCACATCTAGCATTTGGGCATACCAGGATGTGATTCCAAAGAGTATGTTTCCAGAATCCAGGTCCTACCACTCATTATTCACGCTGTTTCTCCAAATAGCCCACTATTCAACCACTACCTGCCTACCCTTCTGGATCACTCTTAGTACTACAACTCAGTAATCTACCAATACCTAAAATCTACTCATCCTATACCTAGTTTTCATTGTCCCCTATCCCTATTCCCATGTCCTCACTTTCTTTCTTCCCAGCTTAAATTCTATGGTCAATCATAATTACTCCTTTCATATATATATCCTGCCCTATTCTTACTCTGTCACACTTGTCTGGCTAAACCCCAATCCTGGAAAATTCAACTCTCCAGCTACTCTGCCTACATCCCTGCAGCTGGTCACGACTGGAGAAAAGTCCACAGTTACGCTGGTATATCTCACTTTAAATTGTAATCACTGTGATCACAAGCCTAACTTCGATCCTTAATGCTGCTTGGAAATTTTATCTCCCTAGTCCATTCACTGATCCACTCAAGAAAAGTATTTTATACCTTCTCATTTGACCTCAAAAGGCAACATGTTTTTTCTATCATCCAAGGACCTTAATTATTTCACTAAAGAAACACAAGTAATCCAAAGAGAACTTTGAATCTTCATCACCATTTCTACCTTCATACCTACTTCTGTGCTCACATAATCTACCTTCTTCCCTGTTTTTAAGGATGAACTATCCTTGTTCTCTGCTACCACCAATTTCTTCATATGTTCCAACCATTCTAAGAATTCAACAACTGTCCTCCTCTTTCCATTGCTTTTTACTTTTCCCTCAAGATTATTCTTGTTAGCACACAAACATGTTGCTCTTTCTACATTCTTAAACGAAAACCACACACTATTCCTCTTCTCCTCAGGCCACCACCCTATTTCTTTCTTTCCTATTCTCTCTTATACTCATTCTACTCAAGTTTTTGCACTCCCTCTTCTACCAAAATCATTCTGATCAAGAATGCCAACAACCTTCACATTGCCAAATCCACCCTATTTCACCCACTGCAGCATATAACAAAGTTAATCCTCTCTCCCTCTTAAAAAGCTTCCTTGACTTCACTTGGAGTCATTTTTTTCCTATTAGGTCACTCATTCTCAGTCTCTTTTACTGGTTCTCTCTCATCTTCTTGAACTCTAAACACTGAAGGACTTATTCCAGAACTCAGTTCTTAGACCTCCCTTTTACATTTACAATCACTCCCTTGGTGATCTCATCCAATCTCATGGCCTAAATGCTGTCTTTATGTTGAGAATTCCCAATTTTGTATGTCCAACTCATCTCTTTTCAGAACTCTAGACTCCTATACCAATGGCCTACTCAACACATTCTCTTGGATGTTTCATATTAACATTTCCAAAACTGAGCTGCCCAACCAACCCCTAAAATTATTTAATATGAATAGTACCTGAGATCTTAAGTAAGAAATGTGATAATTTTATAAATGAAAGAATAAAATGATAGTTAAAATGTAGTTACATAATGTATGGGTGGTGCTCACTCCCATCTCCCATAGAAATGGGCATGTAACACAAGTCTGGCCAAGTAAGAAATGTGATAATTTTATAAATGAAAGAATAAAATGATAGTTAAAATGTAGTTACATAATGTATGGGTGGTGCTCACTCCATCTCCCATAGAAATGGGCATGTAACACAAGTCTGGCCATTAAGAGTAAAGCATGCTTTGCCATAATGACTGGTTCAGGAATGGGCAAATGATCCAACCTAGATCAGTGATATTCCTCCAGAGGGCTTTTCTTTCTGCCAGTTATCGAGCAAAACTATCTTTCTGCTAGTTATTGAGAAAAACCCAGTCCACTGGGGTTACTAAACTTGTAGTAAGTTAAATTTCAAGAAGCTATCTTGCTTACCACACTGAAAGAGGCTATTAAGAACTGGAGACAGAGGGACACCTGGGTGGCTCAGTGGTTAAGCATCTGCCTTCAGCTCGGGTCATGATCCCAGGGTCCTGGGATCAAGTCTTGCCTGCTTCTTCCTCTGCCTCCTACTCTCTTTGCCTGCTGTTCCCCCCTGCTTGTGCACTCTCTCTCTCTCTCTGACAAATAAATCAATCTTCAAAAAATTAAATAAAATCTTAAAAAAAAAAGAACTGGAGACAGTGCCCAAATGACACTGTATAAGCAATTCTTCCTTATACCCATCCAGCTATGCCTGAAGCTTAACTACCCCTGGACTTCTTTTATATAAACTAATAATCCTTCTTTTGTACTTTGATAATTTGTCACTTGGAACTGCAAGAATCACAACCAATATAGGAAGCAAAGGCCAACAATTTTTTTAAGTATGGTGTGTGCCTGTAATTCTCTGGTTTACCATTCAGCAGGACAAAACACATAGCCGGCATGGGAAATGGAACCTAGCTGAGTGTCACAGATCTACTACACAGCTAGGCTCTCCATTCCTACTTGACACTTGGTTATAATTGATTATAAAATTAAGTGTGATACTAACAGCTAGTTTTTCTTCTTGTTCCTCAGCTTTCTGCACATCTATATCCCACTGCTGAAACAAAGTCAGAAACTGCTGAGAATATTCTTGGTTAAGCTTCTGCCTGTAAAACGTAACAATGAATATTTTCATATTTTATACCAAAACATTCAAAACAAAATTTATTTGACATACATTATAAATACTAAAGGAAATAATGGCATCTTAAATTTTCAAATATGAAACCAAAATGTAAAATTATGATTTATGCTGATTTTAGAAGTATTTCTTTTCCTAAGCAGCTAACAGAAAAGCCCTCTCACATGCTTTAGTTCCTAAAAACTATGGAAGTTTTATTATATATGTAACTTTTCCAGAAAAGTCCATTTCATCTCCAAGCAGTTTTTTTTTCCCAACCAAATATAGGTTCCGATATGATAAACAGATTCAGTGAAGTTATTATGTTTATCATGTAAGATTTCCAAACAAATATTCCACTTAATTTTTCCCCACTTTGGTACAATGATTTTGTAAAAAAGAACAATTAAGTCAATTCAGCTAAAACACACAGATGTAATATTTACAATAAGACTGATCTTTTTCTACATTGTTAAGCAGGTAACTATCACAAGGCTAATAATTTATATGACATTTCATTTTTATTCAGTTGGTGCATTTCTAGAATGAATATGAATAACCTTTAGAGTAAAAAACTCAATTGTTATTTAAATGGAGAAAAAGACAATCTGCACTGATTTCTAAGAAATATATCTCAAGTCTATGAAGGTTATAGAACTAAAGGACTTAAAAAAAAATCAAGCCAAATATATATTTTACTAGAGACCCTGATAAATAGAAGATGATAGTATTTTTCATAATTTACAGCAATGAATACTAAGAAATGATACAGATGTCATGGCTGTGAAAAAAACCAACGACCTTACCTTTGCTCTTGTTGGGTTTTCCAAACATGTTCAATTTTCTGATTACTAGTTTTGAGAGAAGCCTTTGTATACAATTCTAGTCTTTTTCTCTTGGCAAGAAGAGCCTTGTTAATGTCAGCTTTATCAAAAATAAACATTCATTAAAACTTGTTGAAAATTATTTTGTTCCCACACATTCAAATTAAATAGGGATATAGTTGGTTCAAGTTTTGGAAAGACATTTAAAAAAAAAATCTTAGGGATGCCTGGGTGGTTCAGTAGGTTAAACCCCTGCCTTTGGTTCAGGTCATGATCCTGGGATCAAGTCCCGCACTGGGCTCCTTGCTCATGGGGAAGCCTGCTTCTCCCTCTGCCTGCTGCTCCCCCTGCTTGTACTCTCTCTCTCTCTCTATCTCTCTCTTTCTCTGACAAATAAATAAATGAAATTTTGAAAAAATTTATATTAAATCTTAAAGTAGGTATAATATTAAAAAGCAAGATTTTGTTTTTTTTCCTAAGAAACCTTTCAGCTATTAGTATCCCTATTTTGATTTTCCTAACTAAAGTTTTTAATTTAGAGATGACTGAAAAAAGCTAACCACGAAAAAAGAAAGGGGAGTCTCAAAGACAGACCTTTAACTTCCTCATGAGAGAACACTAATAAAGGCTAAATTTTTCTAAATTTGTAAAATACTCTCCAAATCAAATAACTCATGTAGATGAGTTATTGCTAGAACTCATCATATGAAACACACAAAATTATTTTTAAAAAGAATCCAAAAAGGGGTGGCTCAATTGATTAAGTGTCCTCCGTGGGCTCAGGTCATGATCCCAGGGTCCTGGGATGGAGTACTGCATCAGAGCTCCCTGCTCAGCGGGGAGTCTGCCTCTCCCTCTGCTTGCCACCCTCTCCTCCCCTTGTGCTCTCTCTCTCTCACAAAAATAAATAAAAAATCTAAAAAGAATCCAAAAAGGATAAAAACAGTTAAATAAGAAAATTATTTTTAAAAAATACAGTCCATGATACTTTTAAATATGATTTTTACCAAGAGATAAAAACGAAGCATAGGAAAATCTTAAGTAAATATCTTGATAAATTCATTCAAGAACCTTTTTAAATACTTTTATAGAACTTTTTTTTCCTGGACTTACTAAAAGAAAATTTTTTTCTTACTGAAGTATAGTTGACACACAATGTTATACATTAGTATCAGGTGTATAACAATGATTTCAGCTTTTTTTTATAGGACATTTTTACCCATAAGTACTGTATTTCACAAAATTTTTAATACTTCAAAAAATGCTTTGCTAAACACATGCCTATGAATCTACCATCAATAATTATTTTTCAGTAATCATGATGGATTTGTATTACTATACAAATACGTTATATTTCTAATATCCACCTGTGATAAATTTAGAAGAAAGATTACAAGACAAACATTTTTCTGCCACCAAATAGAGCAAAGCTTTCAAAAAAGACTTGACTGAATAAATAATCCGGATAGAGGAGCCAAATATTAACTCTTTTTTAAGAATACTATCCCCTGGGGCACCTGGGTGCTCAGTCAGTTAAGTGTCCCCCTTTGGCTCAGGTCAAAATCTCCAGGTCCTAGAGATCACATTGTGTTGGGCTCCCTGCTTGGCAGGGAGTCTGCTTCTCTCCCTCTCCCTCTGCCCCTCCCCTGGCTCATGTGTGCTCTCTCTCTCTCAAAGAAATAAATAAAATCTTTTAAAAAAAGACTACTATCCCCTAACACAGTTAATGTAACTAATATCAAATATACCATGTAAGGTTTAACTTTTTTTTTAAAGATTTTATTTATTTATTTGTCAGAGAGAGACACAGTGAGAGAGGGAACACAAGCAGGGAGAGTGGGAGAGAGAGAAGCAGGCTTCCCGCAGAGCAGGGAGCCTGATGCAGGGCTTGATCCCAGGACCCCGGGATCATGACCTGAGCCGAAGGCAGACCCTTAACGACTGAGCCACCCAAGCGCCTCGGTTTATTAACTTTTTATCTGATTATGTATTTCTTACTAGCTAGCAGGGTTACTTTTCTAAATTACATAATGTAAAACATTACAATAAAGAGGTATTTTAAAGGGTTCTATTTATCCTGCCCCTAAGAAAAGAACACAGGTGGGGCACCTGGGTGGCTCAGTCGTTAAGCATCTGCCTTCAGCTCAGGTCATGATCCGGGGGCCTGGGATAGAGCCCTGTATCAGGCTCCCTGCTCCGTGGGAAGCCTGCTTCTCCCTCCCCCACTCCCCCTGCCTGTGTTCCCTCTCTCTTTGTCTCTCTCTCTGTCAAATAAATAAATAAAATCTTTAAAAAAAAAAAAGAACACAGGAATGTCATAGAAAATAAATTGAGAAAATGAAAAACTGACATATATAAAGATATGTGTGTTTTTAACACTTGGTCCATGAGTTTGTGAAAGTTCATACAAATAGGGATAGAGACATTCCCCTTCCATTTTTTTCTAAAATTGCACAGTTCTCTAAATTCACACATATATAAAATAAAAACACCATTCTTACCTCACCATTGTTAATACCATTCTTACTCTTCACGTTGACAACTGGAGAAGATTAAGGAAATCTATGTAGCTGAATCACACATACTTAGGCAAAATCTTATATATGAGGACAAAGCATTAGGTAACAGTCTTATAGTCCACTGATTAACATTTCCTATTACAGATTATGTGTTGTATGGTTTAAAATAATTATCTCAAAAAACAAATATCTCCTAAAACATACCTCCAAATCTTTCCAGCATATTTTGTACTTCACCCCTGTGAAATTACATTAAAAAAATTTTAATTAAAGATTGAAATATCACACATACAATGTATTTTACAACAACACTCATTGGACAACCAAAGGAGACTTTTCTTAAAGGACTTTATGTAACAGAAAAAACTATTTTGAGCACATCACCCCACATCTTCAAATACTGCTGCAGAAGTCCTTTTCTTCCCATGCTTATCAATTACTGGAGTCTTCCCTGCATTGACAATAAAAAAGAAAATATTTTGAAACGAAATATTCCATTTTAGTAATTTTTAATGGTGTAATATCTTAATTTTGAGGACTTTTAGGCTTTTTGGCCAACATAACTTTTTAAAGCAGATATAAATACAGTACTTGCTCTGCAGTTTAGATGGAATTAAATCAGGATCCAGGACCATTTTATAGAAACAATTTTGCAAGTCTTCCTGTGTTAATGTCATAGTAAGCCAGGTTTTTATTTATTTTTATATATTATATATATTTATGCTATAGATAAGTTTACTTATTTATTTATGAAGCAGACATCTGGAGAATAATGACTATAACGGTAAGAAATGCTGTGTAAACTTTTCGAACTCCAAATGAGAAACATGAAGTACATGAAAATGTTTTACAAATAAAGTTTTATTATAGTCTAAAACGTAGTGCATCCCAGACGAATGAACTACAGGACATGGTGACTGCCCAACAAAATTAGATATACTGTACCTTCAGTAACATCCTCCTCTGAACCACTCAGATCTTTTTTATCTTCTTTCTCAAAGTCATAGGCTCTTGTAACCTGATCCTCCATTGACGTCTTCCCAGATTTCCCTGTATGTTTTCTTCCAGAGGGCACCATATTTAGATGTTTTCTGACTTTTAAAAAATAAATCTCTCAAACCTTCTGAATCCAAAGACACCATGTAAGTAAATTGGTAAATTTCAAAATCAGCGATATCAAATAGAGATTGTCTTAGCTGAATAACATTTTAGGAGTCTCCTCACTATATTTTGTTGGCCCAAAATTAACAAAGAAGATAATGACAGCATCGACCCTGATTCCAGTGTGCGGCGATGGAGAGTTGGCATCTGAGGGCTATGAGATCTGAATTTTAATCCGGCCTCTGTCAGATTCTGGCTAAATTCGGGCTAGATTCTAGTTTGTGCATTTCCGTCACAAAGTCAAATTGTAGTTGTTGACAGGTTCGATCCTGTGAGCATGCCCCAAAATAAGTTTACAGCAAAATAAATATAAAATAAAAACGTTCTGCAATCTGTGCTTTGAGAAATAACGATTACGCCTAAGATTTTCACAACACAGACATCGAGGGCAAAGGAAGAGAAGCCCTTAGTTCGTTCTGTTTCTGACGGGTTTGGGGCGGTCACGAGGGAGAGACGCGCAGAGGGACGAAGGCCCACACTGCTCCCCGGAGGATATAAACTTGCCCAGGGCGTCGTGACCAGTCAGACTCCATTCAGCCCTCGCCTTTCCACCCGCCCCTCGCCTGCTTAAGGCCTTGCCCTCAGTGAAGTTCACTGACTTCATTTTCCTGTCAGAGGCCCCAAGTAGAGCCAATAGGAAAGATTTACCTCACAGATCAAGGGTAGCCTCTGGCTCAGACTCTGGCGCTTGACAAAGTCCTCTCCTTCTCACGCCTGAAAAAAAACCCCAATGGCCAAAGACCACCCACAGGTATAGGTCTCCAGACAGGTGTCCCTGCCACCAGCCTCCACCCCCTCCAGCTCCTCACCTGAGACGTACGCCTGGCTAGCGCGACTCTCCTCTGAAACAACTCAGAATTCACGCGGGAGAAAAGCCAGAGTCGTCTCGCCTGAGGGCGTCGCTGATTGGCTGGTGGCTGCGCGCATGCGTATAGAAGGCCACAGGTTCCGCCCCCACGGGCTACTGACCACGAGACCGCTGACCCAGAGCGCCTTTCGGCGGGCCGTGGCCTACGCAGGCCGGCGCTCCTGAGGTATATTCCTGTCTAGGTTTCATTTTTTTCCACTTAAGTTTTTAAATTTTTATATTTGAAAGTTACAGAGTATATACGTTACGAAACATGATGAACATATGATCTAATTTGTGAAGTAGAATTGTACCAGAACCCTTGGCATTTTCTCAGGAAATCCTTTCCATCCTATCCCCGCCCCCAATTCCCCTTTCAGAGATATTGTTTTAATTATCCTGAAAAAGTGTAAATCGTCGTCCCTCCCATTTTCTACGTTTTGTTACTACACATGAATGTCCTTAACCTTGCTTGGTTTTGTGTTTGGGTGATACCAAAAAAAAAAATTTTTTTTTTGTGATATTCTGCCACTCTTCGCATGTCACTAAGAATCTATTATTAGCTGTAGCCATATTTCTTTCATTTTCACTGCTGTATGACATTTTATTGTGCCTCACTTCCACAATTTATTCATTGATTTTCTTGACCGTGCACATGTGGGTTGCTTTCAGAGCATAGCCTATATAAACAGTGCCACTATGAAATTCTGATCTCGTGCATATATGCTAAAGTTTTTGCAGAGAATCTAAGTGTGAAGTTGCTAGGTCATAAAATGGATGATATTCAGTAATGCTGAACTGGTTTCCAATTTATGTCCCCACCAACAGAGTGAGTTCCCATTGTTTAGTATACTCACTACTTGGTATAGTCAGATTTCTTTCTTTTTTAAAGATATTATTTATTTATTTGACAGAGACACAGCGAGAGAGGGAACACAAGCAGGGGGAGTGGGAGAGGGAGAAGCAGGCTTCCCGTGGAGCAGGGAGCCCGATGTGGGGCTTGAACCCAGGACCCTGGGATCATGACCTGAGCAGAAGGCAGATGCTTAACGACTGAGCCATCCAGGCTCCCCAGTATAGTCAGATTTCTTATTTTTGCCATTCTAGCAGGTATAAAATGATACTGCTTTGGGGTCTGCAAATTTATATTTCTCCAATCATATGAGATTCATATGTTTTTCTAATGTTAACATTTTTCTAATGTTTTTCTAATGTTAAACCAAACCTACATTCCTGTGATAAACCCAAGTTGATCATGATATATTAGCTTTTTAAGCATGTTGCTATGTTTGGTTTATACAGCATTTTGTGTCCATTTTCATGACTGAGATTGGCTTGTAATTTTCTGCTTTTACCTAGTTTGGAATGAAGTCTATGTACATGACTTGCTCTGTGTTATCAAGTCTTTGTTCAAATGCTAGTATTCATATCAGTAGGCCTTTTCCGCCCCTACTTTTAGATATTGTAAATGCAGACTCTGCACCTTACTTCTCTTTCCCTAGTCCCCTTCCCTATATACCTTTCTCCTAGCACTTACCATTTTTTATTATAAATGTAATTTATTTACTTTATTGTCTTCCCCAAACCCCTTAGAATGTAAACTCTGAAGGGCAGACAGAATTCTATATAGTGTGAAGAACAGATCTAATTTCATCTTTTTCCAAATATCTATCCAATTATCCCAACATCATTTACTAAAACTTCAACCTTTGCCCCCCGCTTGATTTGAAATACTATCTTTATTATACACTAGATTTCCATAAGGAGTTGGGTTAACATCTGGATTTTGTTACATTCCACTGACCTATCATTCATGTACCAGTACCACACTGAATTATAGACACTTGTGAGTGTGTATATATATTTATTAAAGATTTACTTATTATAGAGAGAAAGTGCTAGTGCACAGAGTGGGAGGGGCAAGAGAGAGAGGGGGAGAGAGAGAAAGAATCTCAAGCAGACTCCCTGCTTAGTGGGGATCCCCATCCCCACTCGGGGCTCAAGCTCACCACAGTGAGATCACAACCTGAGCCAAAACCAAGATCGGAAGCTTAACCAACTGCACCACATAGGTGCCCCATGAGCATATTTTAATATTTGATAGGCCTGTTGCCCCTCATAGCTACTTTTTTCAGGGATTTCCTAGCTATTCTTGCATTTTAAAAAATATTTTATTTATTTGAGAGAGAGAGCGAGCGAGCATGGAGAGGCAGAGAGAGAGAGGGAGAAGCAGGCTCCTCGCTGAGCAGGGAGCCCAGTGCAGGACTCAATCCCAGGACCCTGCGAGCATGACCTGAGCTGGAGGCAGACACTTAACCGACTCAGCCACCCAGGCGCCCTTTTGCATTTTTAAAAACGTGACTTTTAGCATCATCTTGTGTCTAAGAAGAAAAACCTTGACTTTTTAAAAGTTTTTATTTAAATTCCAGTTAGTGTACATACAGTGTAATATTAGTTTCAGGTATACGATATAGTGATTCAACATTTCCATAAAACATCAGATGCTCATCACAGCAAGTGCACTCCTTAATCCCCATCACCTGTTTTACCGATCCCCGCCACCTGCCTCCCCTCTCATAACCAGCAGTTTGTTCTCTATAGTTAAGAGTCTGTTTCTTGGTTTGCCTCCCTCTTTTTTTTTTTCCCCTTTGCTCATTTGTTTTGTTTCTTAAACCCCACATATGAGTGAAATCATATGGTATTTTTCTTTCTATGACTGACTTATTTTTCTTAGCATAATACTGTCTAGCTCCATCCATGTCATTGCAAATGGCAGGATTTCATTCTAAAAAGAATAAAAATGGCGGAATAATATATTCCATTCTATATATACCACATCTTCTTTATCCACTCATCAGTTGATGGACAGTTGGGCTGTTTCCATAATTTGGCTCTTGTATACAATGCTACTGTAAACAGGGTGCACATACCCCTTTGAATTAGTATTTTTTATTCTTTAGGTACATACCTTGTAGTGCAATTGCTGGATTGTGGGTAGTAGGTAGTTCGGTGTTAACTTTTGGGGCACCTCCATACTGTTTTCCAGAGTGTCTGCACAAGTTTGCATTCCCACCAACAGTGCAAGAGGTATCCCCTATCTCCACATCATTGCCAACATCTGCTGTTTCTTGTGTTGTTTATTTTAGCCATTCTCACAGGTGTGACATACCTCATTGTAGAGGTTTTGTTTTTTAAGATTTTATTTATTTGCGAAAGAGCGTGAGCTGGAGGGGGGATGACACAGATCTTCCAACCCATGAGCGTGGAATGTTTTTCTATTTCTTTGTGTTGTCTTCAATTTCTTTCATCAGTGTTTTATAGTTTTCAGAGTGTACAAGTCTTTCATCTCTTTGATTAGGTTTATTCCTAGGTATCTTACTGTTTTGATGCAATTGTAAATGGGACTGGTTCCTTAATTTCTCTTTCTGCTGCTTCATTATTGGTGTATAGAAGTGCAACAGATTCCTTTTTTTTTTTTTAAGATTTTTATTTATTTTGAGAGAGAGTGCATGCATGAGAGAGCACAAGCAGGGTTAGGGGTAGAGGAAGAGGGAGAGGGAGAAGCAGACTCGCGGTTGACCAGGGAACCTGATAAAGGGCTCAATCCCAGGACCCTGGGATCATGCCCTGAGCCACCCAGGTGCCACTGGAAATGCAACAGATTTCTGTATATTGATTTTGTATGCTACAACTTTACTAAATTCGTGTATCAGTTCTAGCAGTTTTTTGGTGGAGTCTCTCAGGTTTTTTATATAGAGTATCATGTCATTTACAGGTAGTGAGAGTTTTACTTCTTCCATGCTGATTTGGATGCCTTTTATTTCTTTTTGTTATCTGATTGCTGTGGCTAGAACTTCCAGGATTGTGTTCAGTAACAGTGGTGAGAGTAGACATCCCTGTCCTGTTCCTAACCATAGAGGAAAACCTCTTAGTTTTTCCTTATTGAGGATGATATTAGCTGTGAGTGTTTCATATATGGCCCTTATTATGTTGTATCTTCCCTTTAAACTTACTTTTTTTAGGGTTTTTATCATGAATGGATGTTATACTTTGTCATATGCTTTTTTTGCATCTATTGACTGATCATATGGTTATCCTTTTATTAATGGGGTGTATCACATTGATTTGTGAATATTGAACCACCCTTGCAACCCATGAATAAATCACACTTGATCAGTGGTGAGTGATTCTTTTAATGTATTGTTGGATTCAGTTTGCTAGTATTTTATTGAGAATTTTTGCATGTTCATCAGGGATTTGGCCTGTAGTTGTTTTTTTTTTTTTTTTTTTAGTGGAGTCTTTATCTCGTTTTGGTATAGGGTAATGCTGGCCTCATAGAATGAATTTGGAAGTTTTCCTCCCTTTTCTTTCTTTTTTTAAAAAAGATTTTATTTATTTATTTGACAGAGAGAGACACAGCGAGAGAGGAAACACAAGCAGGGGGAGTGGGAGAGGGAAAAGCAGGCTTCCCACGGAGAAGGGAGCCCGATACGGGGCTCCATACGAGGACTCTGGGATCATGACCTGAGCTGAAGGCAGACGCTTAATTAACGACTGAGCCACCCAGGCGCCTCCCCTTTTCTATTTTTTGAAATAGTTTGAGAAAAATTGGTATTTACCCTTCTTTAAATGTTTGGTAGAATTCACCTGTGAAGCCATCTGGCCCTGGGCTTTTGTTTATTTGGGAATTTTTTGATTGCTGATTCAATTTCTTTGCTTGTTATTGTTCTGTTCAAGTTTTCTGTTTCTTTCTGTTTCAGAAAAACCTTGACTTTTTATTGGGATCTCAAAATTTATAAATTTACTTAGGAAAAGATGACATTTTAATGATGTTAAAATGTTCCAGCAAAGAGCAAGGGGTATCTTTCCACTAGTTCCAGTATGCTTTTGTATTTTATTTTTTTTTAATTAGAGCGCAAGAGCCAGCACGAGTAGGGGGAGGGGCTGGGGGAGAGGGAGAAGCGGACTCCCTGCTGAGCAGGGAGCCCGACTCAGGGTTTGATCCAGGACCTGGAGATCATGAACTGGGCCAAAGGCAGCCGCTTAACCGACTGAGCCACCAAGGTGCTCCTAAAATGCTTAACGACACGAAAGTGGGGCACCTGGGTGCTGCGAGCCTGTGGGTACAGCAGTGGCACAAGCTCTGTTGGAATTTTTCTTTTTTTTTAAGATTTTATTTATTTGAGAGAGAGAGAGAATGAGAGATAGAGAGCACGAGAGGGAAGAGAGTCAGAGGGAGAAGCAGACTCCCCGCTGAGCAGGGAGCCCGATGCGGGACTCGATCCCGGGACTCCAGGACCATGACCCGAGCCGAAGGCAGTCGCTGAACCAACTGAGCCACTTCTCTTAGAAAATTCATTGTATTCTCTGTCTCCTGGTAATGCTAAAGGCATGGCTTATATATGATTTTATTTTCGCTTTTGCTATTTTATGGTTCTCAGAGAAGATGTGTGGAGAGATTCAGATTCAGGGGGGTCACCATTAACCTCCATATGCAGATTCTCCCCCAAGTCTTTCCTTGTTTTTTAAACATCACCAGAG